TATTTAATTTTTCTTGCAAAAACCACACCCATAGTACAGCACCTGTAATTTCCAGTTTGTTTCTTAGTAACCTTACTGCAGAATCTTTTTAGATTGATTGGGATTTTTTTTTCTAAAATCATTTAAATTTCATCCTCACCTATTTCAACTGTAGTTGATTTTCAATACTTTCCCATTTTCAAAGCAGTCAACTTATTCTCAGACATCTTCTAGCCTTTAGAGTTTGTTAAATAATGTCTCACGAAACTATGCAATTAAATACTGAGTGTAACTGCCACTAAGAGTTTTTTTAGTATAAATACCAATGATTCTTGGTAATCATTTGGAATTCTTGGTAATATGTTGGAATAAAAGTTCAAGAACAAACTAGAGTAGTTCACTGCCACTCAAACGAGTAAGTTAATTCTACAGAGAGAATAAAGGCTATCACTTAATCTCATGAGTGGGTTAAGCAGAGGTCAGTTAAGAGACATGAGACTGTAATGGGCTCTTCCTAACACTCTTTGGTTATTCTACCCACCAATCAACCCTCTAATAATTCATATATATCAGCAACTTCTAAAATTAAGGGAATACTGATAGAGCATCATACCTTGGCATTGTATATGAATTGTCTGACTCCTGATGAACATAATGACAGATTCTCAGTCTCTCTCTCTCTCTCTCTCTCTCTCTCTCTCTCTCTCTCTCTCTCTCTCTCTGTAGCTATCAGATAAAGAAAGTACTTCTAGGTGAAACAAAATTAAAAACATAATAAATTTCAATATGGCTTCAAATCTGACATAACTATACTAGAATCAAAAGCATTAAAATTTGTTGAATACAAATACAAAATACAGAAGTACTTTCAAGTTCATTGTTAAGAATGCTAAGATGATAGGCAGGAAGTGAAAGGATAAAGTAAAATCAATCACTTACTACAGTCTAAGAACAAATCAGTATATACCTTCCTTAAGTCCCATAATAGGAGGGAACTCTAAACATGTACAGTTTATAAATTCCAACTTTGAGAAGGGCTCAAAAAACATGTCTAACGAAGTCCTCCATGGTGTCTCCAAAAGTTACCTATCCCCATATGTATCTCTCTCAATCTATGTTTTCTAAGTAGTTTAGAGAGCCTTCACAGTCTCACAGTCTCTTTGTATTAATGGGTAATACACATTGGATTCCACACATTAAGAATCCCAAGTATGTCAAGTACCAATGGCTCATACCTAGAATCCTAACTACTCAGGAGGCAGAGATCAGGAGGATAGAGGTTCAAAGCCAGCCCAGGCACATAGTTTAAAAGACCCTATCTAGAAAAAAAACCATCACAATGAAGGGCTGGTGGAGAGGCTAAAGGTGTATGCCCTGAGTTCAAACCCCAGTACTGCCAAAAAAAAAAAAGAAAAAAGAAAAAAGTCACAAGTATGGCTCTGTCCTGCAAATCAACACAAAGGCAATACTCTAAGGTAGCTTAGTCACTAGGACCATGCTCTGTGTGCCTACAGAATTCACTGTTACCTAGAAAAAGATAGCTACCCCAAAACTGCTACTTCCAAAGACATTATATCTTGAAAAACCAACACAGAGACATACCAATAGGATCAAGTTATACCACTAAGTGTCAACTGCTTAAGAAAAGACATCATGAAAATAAAGGGTGGTAAAGTTGTTCTGCATTAAAAACAAAAAAGACAAAAAAGGAGGAAGATGGAAGGTTAGGGGGGAAAAACAAATTATTTATGATTTAAGACTATGAAATCAGCAAAAAAAATTATTCAGATATGCACTCTGCTGTTCCTAATGTACATCTTCAACAGGTTACTAAACTGTGTAAGCCTATTTCCTGCTCTCAAAAAAAGGGAATTACACTCATTGTCTTAACAGTATCCATTATGGTCCTTACACAAAGTAGGCAATTAAAATAAAATGTAACAGATATTGCATTGTTTGGGGGAGGTTCAAGGTAACACAAATTCAGATACAATGTAAGTTCTTTTTGAATGCCACAAGGAAATAGTTAGGAAAGAAAGCTGAAGGACCTTCCCTATAACATGATTCTACATGGATTCAGAAACTGGTGTTGTGACACTTTTCTAAGCAGTCCTTTAATAATGATGAAGTTTGGGGTTAAATTATTTTTAGGTTCATCTGGTTTTTAAGATAACAAAAAAGCTCAAACATATTTATCTGAAACTATGGATGTTCTTCATTTTATCATCCCACTGTTACAGTTAAATTTTCTTTATGTAGAGAAATTTTACATTTCACATTATCCATAGCAAATCTTATAATTAAATGTATTAACAATAACATAGCTATTCAATGACCTGCGTGTTTGTTATTTAATATTTCACCATTCCCTCTGTTCAGTTTGATACATTGTTTTGGGAAACCCTTTGAAATAAAATCACCACTTGTCCCATTCTGAAAAAAAAAATCTGAACCAAAAAACTACACTGTAATAATGATCTATACCCAGCATACAGGAAATTACAGGATGGATCAGAGGGGTCACAGAGAAGTAACTGGAGAACTTCCCATTTCTTCCTGAGTCACAGTTTTACAGTCTGGATTATATTTCCTGTAAAACCAAATACCAGATTACCAGACACACACATATCACATGAAAGTAAAGAAATATAACAAAGTCATGTATAAACTGTTTTGGATTATATACTTTTTTGCGTTCCTCCAGGAGTGTGAATGATAGCAAGTTGACTATTTTGTTGTATTTTGTTTCCTTAAATTCACTACCCTTATGTGCCTACCTACTTTCAGCACACAAACTATATACTTGGCCCTTCAACATGGAACTGACTCATTTTTAACTACAAGGCATTCTGGACTTCCATGACCTGGCCTGATCTCCACCTACTTTCACAGCTTCCTCTTCCACAAGGACCTCATAGTATAGCAGCCTTATGTCCAGCTCAACAGGTCCTGTAACAGCCAACCACAAGCCTGCGCTCAAGCTTCCTTTGTCCCTAAAAAAGTACTGCCCAGCCTATTAAAATAAATGAAGGCCCAGATGGAGTATTACCAGTTCCACTCACTCATAACTACCCCCAAATTAGTACCTTACACACTTACACACACACACATATATATATACACACACACACCACGCTTTTGTGCTCCTCTAATAAAACCCACAGGAATCTTGTATTGAATTTATTTCTGAACATGCCTGCTTCTCCCCTGAAGACAACTACTGGGCTTACACATAGCAAAGGCATGGGTTGAATTAAAGTATTCCTTGATTGTAGTCCCAGTACTTTATCTTGAAGAAATAAATGATTTTCGTATTTTGAAGATTTTGCTAATGTTGGCAAATCTAATGGTAAAAATGCCAGTAATCACATAATTTGTTAATTTTTAAGCTGACAAATGTTAGGTCAATGAGTACAATAAATCATCAATAAAGATAATCATTTCTTAAGATTCCCCCTCTTCAAAAAAAGTCTCACTTGTATCAAGGTTAAAATTAATCTTTCTGAGCCAGGTGTGGTGACATGAGTTGGAGGCAGGAGAATCAAAGGTTCAAGGTCAACCCAGGCTACTTAAAAAGTTCAAGGACAGCCTGAGCTACAGAGTGAGACCTGTCTCAAAAAACAATAAAATAAAAATAAACTTTCTGTCCCCCATTCTAAGAGGAACTCCTACCTGACACGTTCCCAGAAATGCAAGTTCACTAAAAGCAAAATATCTATTCATTAAGAATCTATGGCAAAGCTACACAACGTATTTGGTAACACCTTTCTCCCATGTGAATCTTTTGTCCGACTACACAAGCTAACATATACAAAATATGGAGGCAGTTTGTCTTAGCTGAGGATTCCGTTTGTAAATAATTATAAAATACTCTAAAGAAATCTCCAAAAAAAAGTTATTAAGCATGTCACAAATTAGATCTGATTTTTCATGGAAAATGTTTTCTTAAACCAGCTTCACCTCTTTCTAATTCTAAATTATTCTTGCAATAATTTGTGATTTCACAGTGTATTTTTTTATGGGAAAGAGCCAATATTTTTTCAAAGAAACATGTGAGTTTGAAAATTGGATATTTTTATTTCAAAAAGTATTCCGTTTTAGACTTGACTATCTCTTATGTGGTCAAATGTCACTCATAATGACAAGATGTAAATGCAGGAGTAAAATAAATAAACCCGACTTTCTTCGTTTATTTTTAAAGGTAGCTTCTTGGCTTTCCGGTTTTAAGCAGATGTTCTAACAGGGTGCAGAGGGGACACCGACGACGGCCTGGGGCTCATCAGGACCGAGGTAAGTAAGCCTACTCCGCGCCACACATGAAGCAACAGTGGCAGTCTCCAGACTTTTCTCGCTCGTGAACTTTTCCTCCGTCCCGAGTCAGGAGGTGGGGGACCCGGGTGGCCGAGGCACCGGCCTCACGACCCACCCCACGAGCACACGCGTCCCCCAGCCCCGTCCTGCAGAGAAGCATGGGCACTGGGACCGGAGCCACCTCCCCCGCACGGGCATGAACAAACAACGACCATCACAGCCGCGCTCGCCCCAGCTACTGGCGGGGCTAAGTCTGAGCGAAGTCTGAAGCTCCAGCAACCAGGCGGATCGTGTCCCCCACCCCCTCAAAGAACCCCCGACGCGAAGTTTTCCCCCGACGGCAGCGCCGGCCTCCGTCACCGCCCTCCAGCCGCCCAGCGCCTCCCTCCGGCCCCAAGCGCCGGTCTGGGCAATCACGGAGCCGGGGGGCTGCAGCCCTCACCCCACGCCTCTCCTCCGGGAGGCCCGCGCCTCCCCCTCGCCGGGTCCCCACGGGCGCCGCGCCACTCGGGCAACTTTTGCACCAGCCCGGCCCGTGCCGCGGCCCCTCCTGCCCCGGGCGGGCGCCCTCGCCCCGCGCCTCGGCCCCGGGCCCGCGCCGCCGCCCGCCCGTCCCGCCGCCGGACCCCAGCCCGCCTACCCCGCCTCGGCCGCGCCACGACCGCCGCCCGGCCCGGGCCCGCCCAGCACCGGTGAGGAGGGCGCTTTACCTCAGAGGCGCGGCCGCGAGAGGCAGGGTCGCCCGGGCGCCGCGGCTCCCACGTCCGTCAGGCGGCGGCCGCGAGGGCACGGCGGCGGCACCTCGCACCGCCGGCGGCCGGAGGAGGAAAGCGAGCCACGCAGGGAGGGAGCGGGCTAGGAAGGGAACGGACGAGCGACGGATGTTTCCGCTCTACTGCCAGTGCCTCCTACCGCCGCCGCTGGCCGGAGAGTCGCCGCCTGGGCCGCTGCTGTCCCCACCAATGCAGCCGGGAATGAATGCACAGCGGGGCCTCGCTTATCCGGAGGTCAAACATCCTCCTGCCTCGAGCATCCGGATCGGCGCCGGACCCGGAAGTGAACACATGGAAAAAAAATAATCGAAAAGGAAACCGGCTCTCTAGCGGCGGCGGCCCCCGCCCCCTCAGCTGCCAGCAGGAGCGAAAAGAGCCGAGTAGATCCGAAGATTACACTGCCCTGCTCAGATTGGCCGGATCGCCGACCGGAAGGGAGGCTCCGCGCTCATTGGCTGGCAAGGCACGTAAAAGCTAAGCCACGCCCCGTCTCCACCTTCGCGCTAGCCGTGCGTAAGGGAGCGAGGAGCGGTTGTAGATGCGCGCAGGTTTTTCTGGATGAGGCCATAGGAGGGGAGGCTGAGTGAGGTCTGCCGAGAGAACTAGAGACAACGCTCCAGTGGTTTAGAAATGCTACTAGGAATTAGGTGAGCAAAGAACCTTAATGGCGCCATTTGCAAAGTCAGGGTGCAGAGACGTCCTCAGGTGTGCCAGAACAGCCCACCAGGTCCCAAACAGTCTTATGGCCAGGTCTGAGAGGATGACATCACTGGATTGACATTTTTTCCCACTTCTTTTTGACCCCAGTGTTACATCAGGGATTCAGATAGTTAGAAAAATGAATTGTGGCTCTCATTTGCTGTATGAAGAACTCCGTTGTTAGGCTCAGGTAATCCTCTGAACTACATAGTGTGGTTGATAATTCTGGCGATTTTTCATATGAACCTCCTGGAGTTCGAAGAGGCTAAACATGACTCGTGTCACGAACTTGTAATGCCCAATGTAGAATCAGTGTTTCTAGCTCCACTCTCCAGTCCATTCTACCCTCACAGAAAGAGCAGATTCTTCCTCTGTAAAGAACTGCTTCATGCTTAACACACCATCATTCTATAAGAGACTTAAGCAAGGGCCAGGGACACATATCCGTAATCCCAGCTACTGGGAGGCTGAGGTGGGAGGATCTTGAGTTAGGGGCCACCCTGGGCCTACACACAGAGGGGAGATTACAGAGGGAGGGAAGAAGTAAGGGAGAGAGAAAGAAAAGAAAAGAAAGGAAGAAAGAAGAAAGAAAAAGGGAGGGAGAGAAGGGAAGGGGGGAAGAAGGAAAGAAGGAAGAAGAAGAAGAAGAAGGCAGGCTGGAAGGCTGGGTTGTAGGAGCACTTCCCTAATCTGCAAGAGGTGAGTTCAATACCCAGCACTGAAAAAAAAAGCACTAGATAAGATTTATGCATGCTCAGATTTAGAAAAAATAAGGTGCCTACTCAAATGATGTATCAGTCTCTGATCTGTCCCAAGACCCAATACTAGACAAGAAACAGCCAACCATCTGCAACTCAGAAAACTCTGTTATCAAATACACAAACATCTAAATACTGTCTACAACTCCCAGCCATTTTATGCTATCTACCTTTAAAAAAAAACACTTTATATAAGCATATCGACCTAAATTTTGATAACTGTATAAGAAATACACGTGTAAACATATGATTAAATCATTTTTAATTAGATAGGGACAGAAGTATTTATATTCCTAACACTTCAGTAAAGATTTTATATTAAAATTTAGCTGGAAACTCCTATGAATATTGGAAAGTAAATTAGATAGGAAGCAATTAAATTTTCAGTTCCATTCTATTAACATGTAAGAAAAAATGACTGTATGAAAATATTAATGTCTCCTGGCATTGCTACTCTTCAGGTACTTATACTCCATTAATATTTTAATTATTATTATAGCTAAAGCCTATGTGTTTCTGCCATCGCAGTTTTTTATAACATACTGAAAATGAATTTTCAGTCAAAATTTCTCTTTTGACAAAAGCTTTCTCTTCATTTCCTACAAGTGCTCTGCTTTGTTTGACAGAGAGAAAATGGTATATAAACTGTGAAAAATTAGCCATTTTCCCTTCTCTGTTAACATGAGGTTTCCAGTGGGAGAAAGAAAGAAGTGGGACAGTTTGATTGGGGCTTTAAGCAGGAAATTTTGAGATTAAGATATTTACTAAAATGTTGCAAAGTAAAAACAAATGAAATGTTCATTTTCTTCTTCCAAATTTTCCAAATATTTTAGCTATAAAAGGAAACCTGCCATGGTGATTTACTGGTTGACATAGGGTAAGGCTTTAGGCATCAGCAACTATACTTATTTTTTTCTTTTTCAATATTATCCTTAAGGTAAAGTACCTGGAAGAAAGATACAATTAAGAAAAAGTAAATGGTCAAATAGAAAGAAGAATACAAAATGAGACATTGTAACAGTGGCCAGGAGCTGGGACCAGAGCAATATATTTCACTTCTTCTCTTGTCAAGCCTGCAAGCAAGGGCAGGAACAAGAAGGATTCTGGGAGAATACCAGTCACCTACACCAGCTACATAAAGTTTTGAGGAAGGTATTACTTAGCAAAGTTTCTTCATTTTCAAGAGTAGAGCTGGAAAGAGTCAAGACGTTAGTTTATACCATCCTTAGCAGAATGATTTTCAGTATTTTGTAGGCAGAAAGATTAAACAAGAATCACAAAACTTTTCTGAGGCTTTATTATTTATAGCCGTTATCTCCAGAAATAATTAATAAAGATCTCACTTGACTTACTTCGAGCCATGGCATGATTTGAGTGTGTCCTCCCAAGAGGTCATGTGTTAGAACCTTAACTCCTTAATATAACAGTGTTGGGAACTGGGCCTACTGGAAGGAAGATGTTTGAGTCATGGAGTACAGTCGTTATGAATGGATTAATGCCTTTCTTGCATGAGTAAGTTCTCTCTTGTGGGACTTGATGCATTACTTTGAAACCAGGTTGTTATAAAGGAAGTCCACTGCTCAGCTATGTTGCCAATCTACTTTCTGCCATGAGTTGAAGCAGAATGAAGCCCTCTCCAAATCAGCCTCTTGATCTTGGACTTTCCAGCCTCCAGAACTATATAAATTAACCAGTAACAGGTATTCTGTTATAGGAAAATGAACTAAGACAAGCTGCCATAACAAAATATAATGGACTGAGTGATCTATGCCTTAAATAATATAAATTTATTTCTTACAGCTCTGGAGGCTAAAAATCCAAAGTCAGGGTTGCCAGTAAGGAGCAGTTTTAGAGAGAGCTTTCATCTTGGCTTTCAGATTGCTGCCTTCTTCCTGTGTCTTCACATAGCCTTGAGTCATCTCTTTCCTCTTCATACTTCCATCATGAGAGCCTCACACCCTCCCCTCATCTAAACTTAATTACCTCTCAAAGGCCCCACCTCCAAATACCATCACATTAGAGTTTAAGTCTTCAACCTATGAATTTCGGGGAGACAAAATTCAGTTCATAGCACTGCTCAGAGGAATACTTTCCATGTAGAAAATAAATCACTTATAAATAAAAGACAATAAAGAGTAGACACATTGTTGATAAGAAACGGTAACTTGTTGACAATGATATTAAAACCTGTAGACTAAAAGAATGTATTCACTTAAGAGAAAGAACTTCAATAAAGAAAAAAATCTCCATAGAGAAAAATATATAAACACCACAAAAGTATAAAAATGTTTTGCAAAAAGAGTGGCTAAATCTCTTGCTAGGCAATTTAATTTTTGGTTTTTTCCATTAGCAGACCTTAATTTTGGCAGCATTTAAGCAAGATTGGCTATCTAAAGAATGTTGTTTTTGATAAATGGAAGAGTTGGATAATGCTATTAATTTCTCTTAATGGTTTCAAGAATAGCTTGAATTCTGGGTAATATATGAATCTAAAATTTGGAGATGGTCTTATGATTAGTCCTTGTTACATTTTTTTCTCCAATTGTTTTCTTCCATTCACACATAATTATATCTCCCTATATCCATCTCAAGAGCCCATCATAGCTCATGAGCCAAATCTGAGCAAGAGTAAGTGTTTCATCAGTCCCTATCCATAGAAATCATGGAGTCTGCTGGATGAAGCTCTGGCTTAGAGGTAGACTTCAAACTCTGCCACTCACCTATCTTCCTAATGCTTTCTCAATGTGTATCACTGGACTTCTTTGGTTTCCTTTCGCAATTGAAACTGTAGCCTTTTCCAAACTCTCAATTAATGCAGAGAAGGTATGAATCTGCTTTGGAAAACTTTTTGCTAGTTTTGGTTCTAACTAGATCCCATTTCCCTGGATGTAGCCCTGCTTTGATAGATTACCTTTAAGATATCAAAATTCTTCAATAATGATGGATTAGGATAAGTAGGATGACTGGATTTTTATATCCTTCTGTGAATAGGACAACACTGGTGCCAAAGCTTGCTAAGCCATGTCTGAATGTCATGTGCCCTTTGGACAGTAAACAAGGAAGTCACCCTCTTTGTCTAATTATGTTTCTTTAGTCTCTGTCATACTTGATCGTGCTTGGTCTTAACTTTATCCCTCTCTTCACAACTTGTACCTTGTACTACTGAATTCCTGACTCATCTTCATCCTCCTGTCTATTCCTATTATGGTATTGATTCCACATCTGACTAAACAAAATCACAAGGCCAACCGAAATTAACTTTGGTACAAGAGGATACTTCAGTTAGAACCTGTGCTTCTATTTAGTTCTCCTCTTCTTCTCCTATAATTAAGATTATGCCACTTTTAAGTTTTCCTCTATACTTCTATCCACCCTTCCACAAGCTATTTAAGTAGCATTAACGTCAGTCCCTCTGTAAAACGAGGCAGCAATACCTCTATCATATTGATATAGGGAACATTAAATGCAATGATATATCTGTGATGTGCTTATCACTGTGTCTAGCACATAGTAAGCACTAAATAAATGTTTGTTGTTATATACCAAATGACCTTGAGGAATCTATATTTTCCAAACCAACATGAATGGCAATACAAGTTGAAAATATCAAGTCCCAAGCTGTCTCCTAGCATTTAAGAGTCTGACTTAGAATTGGACTTACGATCTTAAGTATTGCAAACCAAGGCATAACATTATTTGAATTTGCTTCAGACCCTATTCTTGATTTTACCAAGTGTATATGAATATTTATGGAATACTGTCTATACCGCATGTATTTATCTTTTCCTAATAGCACTCAGATTTCCCTCAGATGAGTTTTC